GACAACGAATGTTGCAAGTCTTCTCCATTAATACGAAAGGGATGAAACTTATAAGCTGGATCGTCCTTCTGATGTCATAACCAGTTAAACAGAGGCCGGCGAGGCGAGGGGCTCCAGCCTGTCATTGCTAGACTCTGGGAGGCCGAGGCGGGCGGATCCCTAGAGGTCAGGAGTTTGAGACCAGCCTGAGTAAGAGCGAGACCCCGTCTCCACTAAAATTAGAAAGAAAATTAATTGGCCAACTAAAAAATATATATATTAAAAAAAAAATTAGCCGGGCATGGTGGCGCACGCCTGTAGTCCCAGCTACTTGGGAGGCTGAGGCAGGAGGATCTCTTGAGCCCAGGAGTTTGAGGTTGCTGTGAGCTAGGCTGACACCAGGGCACTCTAGCCCGGGCAACAGAGTGAGACTCTGTCTAAATAAATAAACAAACCAGGCCAGGCCTGGTGGCTCACGCCTGCCATCCTAGCCCTCTGGGAGGCCCAGACGGGAGGACCGCTCAAGGCCAGGAGTTCAAGACCAGCCTGAGCAAGAGCCAGACTCCGTCTCTACTAAAAATAGAAAGAAAATTAATTGGCCAACTAAAATATAATAGTATATATATATATAATATTATATATATTATATATATATATAATTAGCCGGGCATGGTGGTGCATGCCTGTAGTCCCAGCTACTCGGGAGCTGAGGCAGGAGATCGCTTGAGCCAGGGATTTGAGGTTGCTGTGAGCGAGCTGATGCCATGGCACTCACTAGCCTGCGGCACAAGTGAGATTCTGGTCTCAGAAATAAATAAACAAAGCAGGTAATAGAAATTACTCCCACATGCCCAAATTCTTTTTACGCAAATGAGGTCATCTTCAGGCACTGACCCTTTTCCCAAAGAACTCTTTACCTGAAAAAGGCTGATGGGGGCAATCTGCAGTCGGTGGAGGGCAGTGAAATCCCTTCTTGCCTCTACTTTTCCTGTACCCAAGCTCCCGGTCAGAGCTTGCCCCTAATTGCTGCTCTGTGGTCCCTCCCGGGGAGAGGGGGCACCAACCAGCCCCTCTCTTTTGGTGGAGCTGAACCGAGCTTGCGGCGATCATCCTAATAATTGTAGATTAGAATTGCTCGGGGTGAATATCGAGGAATGCTTGACCCTCCTCTGCAGCCTGTCGCTTCATACCCAGGCTTCCTTTCGTGGGTTTGACGGTGGCATTTGGAAGAATCTAAAACCTCCCCTGTAATCCCAGCACTCTGGGAGGCCGAGGCGGGCGGATCGCTCGAGGTCAGTAGTTCGAAACCAGCCTGAGCAAGAGTGAGACGCCCGTCTCTACTATAAATAGAAAGAAATTAATTGGCCAACTAATACATATAGAAAAAAATTAGCCGGGCATGGTGGCGCACGCCTGTATTCCCAGCTACCAGGGAGGAGGCTGAGGCAGGAGGATCTCTTGAGCCCAGGAGTTGGAGGTTGCTGTGAGCGAGGCTGACGCCACGGCACTCACTCTAGCTCGGGCAACAAAGCGAGGAGACTCTGTCTCAAAAAAAAAAAATAAATAATAAATAAATAAAAATAAGATAAGATAAAACCTCCCCTGTGGGGCTGGGACAGGAACCAGGCAAAGGTGCAGAGGAAACTGACCTGCCCGGCTTCCTTGTTACAGGACCTGTTCTTTAGAACCACTGGCCCTGATCTCTCCTGTGGAGCACTTAGAGCTCTCACGGGGCGGATGAGAAGGGCTGCTCGTGTTCTTTCCCGCCTCCGCGACGACAGCATGGGTTGTGGCAGATGCGCTGCGCAGCCCACGCCCGTCGCTATGGCTGATTTTCATAGCCACGCCCATCACTAGGGCTATTTTCGGGTACGGGCTTCATTGCACATGCTAGAAATCCTGCTGGGCCTTTTATGGGTCCTTATTTTCGGGTAGGGCCTTCACATTGCACAATGCTTAGAAATCCTGCTGGGGCTTATTTTATGGCTTGGTCTTACTTGGGAAACACGGTAACAGCAAATTGATTAAGCCCGGAGACCATTTTTAGGGTTAAGGGCCTGGAGTTCGTCTACCAAATTTCCTGTCCAGAAGCTCAAGGGGGACCACGGCCTTACAGTTCCTGGTCAGGCATGCTTTGACAACTGCTTCTCTCCTTCTGTTGTAATACAAACAGAGGGAAGAAAACACCCCCAGTGTTACCCGCCTCAAACAAAATCACTGTCTACGATCCCTGCTGGCCCAAAATCGAGCACTGTTAGAAGGGATTCCGTAGGAAGGCTCTCCGGCTGCTGTTCTGTGAGCGTTCAGCTGTGATGTCACCTGGCAGGAGGACAATGGTCACCCTTAACCCCACAACGGAAACAACAGCCCACAAGCTCTTCGGGCTCGCTCTTCCGTGGACTCAAGACGACACGAAGTGGATTAAGATCAAATAGCCTTCTCTGGAGGACCCTGTTCAAAACCTACTTGCGATAAAAGAAGGTGATGGATAACTAAGACGTCTGTTTAAGCTCCCAAAGAATAACCCTAACCCAAAGAGCGCGAGAGCCTGGACAATAGGCGCCGCGCTGTGCCGGAAGAGTGGTTGGCCACGTGGAACAGGAAATGTAGCCAGAGCAACGTGGGCCTTAGTATAAAGAGACGCATTCGAAAACTTACCTGCAGCAGGTGGTCCTCTGAACTGGCCCGTGGTTCACGGAAAGGGCATCCCGTTCCAT